ATTGTTGTTTGGCGGGTCTGGGCTGGGGATTCGAACCCGCCACCTTAGGTGTACGTGGCTGGCGCCCTAGCTGGCTGAGCTATAGGTGCCGAGCCTATTTATTTATTTTTAGAGACAGGGTTTCTCTTTGGCTCAGGCTGGTCTTAAACTGGTGAGCTCAGGCAATTTATCCTCCTTGGCCTCCCAGAGTGCTAGGATTACAGGCGTGAGTCACCAAGCCTGGCCTAGAAAATTTTATATGTATTTTACTTCAATAAAAATTTAGGGGAAAAAAAACATGAAAAATTACTATCTGGATAAAAACCACAATTGATAGGGTTACAGAAAAGTACTGGGTATGGAGTATTAAACATTGTGGGATGCTCTTGGTGGGATGAAACTAGGGTCCAAGAACCGAAGGGTCCGACTTTCTAGCAGAGTTCTTCTCCCGCACATGATCAAGAGGATGGTATTCCCCAGAATTATGGCAAGTGGAAAGGAAAACTTGTCAAAATTTATTATGACATTGGCTTGGGTTCCAAATTCTAAAGACAAGAATGTTAGTAGGCCAGTGCTGACTGCAAGGCTGAGGGTAGGCCTGTTGGACTGAAGCCACTGGTCAGTTCAGATATGGGTCTCCTTTGGCCCACTGTGTAGAAGAAGATGGAGGACAGCTAGGTGCTTCTGGCCAGTCTGCAATAGGGAGAAGCACCTGTCCAGGCCACGACCTCCAGGGGTCACCAGGCCTTTCACTCTCCCAGTCCCTGGCTGGGCAGCAGGCAGCTGGTGTGAAGGCTCCTGTGCTTTTGCTTAGAGGCATGAGGACTGCTCTTCATTGTTTCCTGGGAGAGTGCTGTCCAACATTACCTGACTGTCAAGGCCTCCCTTCTTGATGTCTTCACTCCCTTGAGCACCGTAGTTCATATGAGTTAACTACACAAAACAGCATCAGATTTCTCTTCAGCCACATGTGAGCCCCTTTAGGTTCCAGGGAAGAGACACATTGGGGTTTAAGTGCCTTTGGCAGGGACTGGACTATGCTCTGGCTAAATCCCCACCTCCTAAATCACTGCCCAGTGAAGAATAGCCCCTGAGCAGTGTTGCAGAATGAGTTCAAGAGCTTCCAGCTGGGTGGTGATGAGAGGGTATTTCAGGGCAGGCTTTGTGATGGAGGCTTGGCTAAGGGCATCACTAGTTGGGGTCAGAAAGTGACTCTAGGAATGTTTTTCAGAGATGGCTCTTTAGCCACCCTGGTGAACCCTTCTGGATCTCACTCCAGATCTGCTGGCTCCAAATCTCTGGAGCAGGGCCTGTTTGGCTCATACATATCTTTTGTTTATTTATTTATTTATTTTGCAGTTTTAAGCTGGGGCTGGGCTTGAACCCACCACCTCCGGTATATAGAGCTGGTGCCCTACTCCCTGAGCCACAGGCGCCACCCTCTTTCATTTTTGAGACAGAGTTTCAAGCTGTCACCCTGGGTAGGAGTGCCATGGTGTCATAGCTCACAGCAACTTCTAAGGCTCAAGTGGTCCTTTGGCCTCAGTTTTTCTATTTTTAGTAGAGATAGGGTCTTGCTTTGGCTCAGGCTGCTTGAATTCTTGAGCTCAAGCAATTCACCAGCCTTGGCCTCCCAGAGCTGGCTCACACACATCTATTTTTTTTGGCCAGGGCTGGGTTTGAACCTGCCACCTTGCCATATATGGGGCTGGCACCCTACTTCTTTGAGCCACAGGCACTGCCCTCACAAACATCTTAAAATGACAGATGTGACAACATTGACTCCCTGGCAGCTGTCAGAGCAGTGGCGGCTCCCTTCTTGGTCTTCTAGGTCCTGCAGGGCTGTGGCAGCTGACCGGCCCTCCCTGGCCTCCACATCCTCTCGCTTCACCACTTCCTGTCTGCTCTTGTGGTTCCTCTTTGCTCTGGGACGATCACAGCCCTCTGTCCTTATGCTCTTCATGCTGCTTCTAGAGTGGCTTGTCCTTGCCAGAGACCCTTCCTTGGTGCAGGTGAGGACTACGCCTACACTTTCAAGGAGGCCTGGTTAGTCCTACTTTGGCTGGACCCCTAGTGCCATTTCCACCTACTACCCATGCAGGAGGCACAGGCATCTCAGACTTAGGTATTGAAAACTAAACTCTGGGCTGGGCGCCTGTAGCTCAAGTGGCTAAGGCGCTAGCCACGTACAGCTGAGCTGGAGGGTTCCAATCCAGCCCGGGCCCGCCAAACAACGACGGCTGCAAAAATAGCCAGGCGTTGTGGCGGGCGCCTGTAATCCCAGCTACTTGGGAGGCGGAGGCAGGAGACTCGCTTGAGCCCAGGAGTTGGATGTTGCTGTGAGCTGTGATGCCAAACACTCTACCCAGGGTGACAGCTTGAGGCTCTGTCTCAAAAAATAAAAAAGGAAACTAAACTCTGGATTTTTTAAAGTTGCCTCTCCCTGAGGCCCCCTTCCAGGCAATGCCAACGTCACCCTGGGCCCTTCTTTCATAGCCACAAATCTTATAACTGTGTTTGAGTCTGATGGTCTCCCCAGTAGCCTCTCACAACTGTCCCTGTGCTCTGCAGTTTCCAGAGCCACTCTTCCACATGTCATCCTTCTCCCCAAGTCCTGCCAGCTGGCCTTTCCACTGGGAGCAAGTCCTGACTCTTCATGCTGTACACAAGGTTGCACAGTGGACCTGAAGCCCTCACTGGCTCTTGCCCCCTCACTGGCTCTCAGGTTGCTCCTTCCTGGGGTCTTCTTTCCCTATAACCTGCAAGCCTAGTTCCCTTCCATTCATGTTTGTGCTCAAAGGTCATCTCATCTGGGAACTTCGCTGACTAACTTAGATAAAGCAGTGCCCTAACCCTAGCCCCTTTCACTCTGTACTTAGCACAGAGTTTAGAATGTAGGTGGGCACATAGTAGGCACTTAAAACATCTGTTGAATGCAGGATAAGTGCTAACCCTCATGCCACCATAGCTCTCCCACTTCATAATAGCCCTTTGCCTAGGGTCACCCAACAGAAACAGAATGGGAGCCAAAGGCATAATTTAAAATTTCTTCATAGCTTGGTTCAACGCCTGTAGCTCAGTGGCTAGGGCGCCTGCCACATACACTGGAGCTGGAGGGTTCACATCCAGCCCAGGCCTGCCAAACGACAACTACAACCAAAAATTAGCAGGATGTTGTGGCAGGCACCTGTAGTCCCAGCTACTTGGGAGGCTGAGGCAAGAGAATCATTTAAGCCCAAGATCATTTAGGTTTTTTTTTTTTTTTTGAGACAGAGCCTCAAGCTCTCACCCTGGGTAGAGTGCCATGGCATATAGCTCACAGCATCCTCCAACTCCTGGGCTCAAGCGATTCTCCTGCCTCCGCCTCCCGAGTAGCTGGGACTAAAGTCGCCTGCCACAATGCCTGGCTATTTTTTGGTTGCAACTGTAATTGTTGTTTGGTGGGCCCAGGCTGGATTTAAACCCTCCAGCTCAGGTGTATGTGGCTGGTGCCTTGGCTGCTTGAGCCACAGGCGCCAAGCCAAGATCATTTAGTTTTTTTTTATTTATTTCTCCTGTGACACCAAGGCACTCTACCAAAGGCTACACAGTGAGACTTTGTGTCCAAAAAAAAGTCTTCATAGCCATGCTTAGAAAGTAAAAAGGCATGGCTCGGCACCTGTGGCTCCAGCAGCTCAGGCGCCAGCCACATGCACCTGAACTGGCAGGTTCAAATCCAGCCTGAGCCTGCCAAGAAACAATGACAGCTGCCACCAAAAGATGGCCAGGGGTTGTGGCAGGTACTTGTGATCCTAGCTACTTAGGAGGCAGAGGTAGGAGACTGGCTTGGAGCCCGGGAGTTGGGAGGTTGCTGTGGGCCACGATGCCCCTGCGGTCTGCCCAGGGTGACAGCTTGAGGCTCTGTTTGAAAAAAAAAAAAAAAGGGCTGCTGGGTGCCCGTAGCAGTGGTTATGGAGCCGGCCACGTACATCCAGGTTGGCGGGTTCATACCAGGCCTGGGCCAGCTTAATAACAATTGACAACTGCAACAAAAAAATAGCTGGGCGCTGTGGCAGGTGCCTGTAGTCCCAGCTACTTGGGAGGCAGAAGTAGGAGAATTGCTTTAGCCCAGGAGTTAGAGGTTGCTATGAGCTGTAATGCCATGGTACTTACCCAGGACAACAATTTGAGGCTCTCCCTCAAAAAAAAAAAAAAAAAAATCAGGTGTTCAACTCTCATCTGATGAAGTTACTGGTTGAGTGCAGGAAGAAAAAACCTGGTTGCCTGGAGAAGTTTTAAAGTCCAGTTATAGCATAATTAACACTCACACAAAGTCCCACATATGTGCCAAGCACTGGTCCACTGGTTTCACAGGGTACAATTAGGTTACATTGTTTGCATTTGTAAGGTAAAGGTCCAAGTTGTAGTTGTGCCCTTCACCTAAGAGGTGTGCCCACACCTGAATGTACTTCCTGTTGGGTAGGATCCCACCCCCCTTTATTCAATGCTCCTGATCACCATATGAAATGTGTGCTAATTCCTATCTTTTACCCATAAAGAAGCTAAGGCTTTGAGAGATGAAGTGTCCAGGGTGACAGTCATTAGCAAGGTTGGGATTTAAACTGGGCCAGCGGACAGAAGAATGTCCTTTTAATGTAGCACATGCTGCCTAAGAGGGAAGGGCCATTCTCCTGGTCCCATCTACTCTGGAATTTGCAATTTCCATGGTTTCATAATTTGAGCCCTGAGTATTTTGTTTACCAGTTGTTAGCACCTAGTAAAATACAGAAGTTGAAAAAAAAAAAAAGAGAGAGAGCATCAATTTTGTTCATTTAGTTTTATTTTATTTTTTGGAGACAGAGTCTCACCTGTGCGCTCAGGCAATCCACCCACCTCGGACTCCCAGAGCGCTGGGATTACAGGCGTGAGCTACCGCGCCAGGTGCTCATTTAGTTGTTTTTTCTTTAAGATTAAAAATAAAATTTTTATTGAGATATAATTAACACACTCCACAATTTACAAATTTAAAGTATACAGTTCAAGACTACACTTTTACACGTCAGTTGCTCGTTTGTTACTAGAGTAGTTTCCTTGAATGTGTAGAACAGAGAAATAGTGAAAGTGAGAGAGTGGTTCAAAGAAAGGGATAAAAGAAAGAAAGGGAGAGAGAGATCATTTAGTTTTTTTGATTTGTTTCTCCTACACAAGTACACCGATGCACTTAAAATAGAGCCCAGACTTACTAGAAGCTTAATTTTAGGTTAACTTTGCAAACAAAATTACTGAACACAGGCGGGGAGCGGTGGCTCACGCCTGTAATCCTAGCTCTTCGGGAACCCGAGGCGGGTGGACTGCCTGAGTTCATGAGTTCCAGAGCAGTCTGGGTAAAAGCGAGACCCACCCCTCTACTATAAAAGGGAAAAGAACAAAAAATGGAGGCAAGAGGATCTCTTGAGCCTGAGTTGGAAGATGCTGTGAACTCTGACATCACAGCACTCTACCCAGAGCGACATCTTGAGACAGTCTCAAATTAAAAAAAAAAAAATTACTGAACATATTCTCATCTTACTTTTTCATGTCTCGTGGAGCTAAATGGTGAAGTGCAAGACCGTGTTTCTCCTGTAGCATAAATTAACGCCTTTGACTAGCCATCGTACTTTACCTTTCCTTTTATGACCTAAACTACAAGAATCCCTCAAGTTTCAGCTTTCCAGTCTCAGGGAGGACGCTCGAAGGATTCCAGGAAGCAAGCAGAGGCCACCTTTCTCGACGGCTGTCACTGCCGAGAGCGATGTCAAGCGGAAACGCACACCGCTTTTAATTCTCCCCCACTCCAACACCGGGAGCGCGAAACAGCCCTGGACCCTGGCGAGCAGAGCACAGCTGCAGCTCGGGTTCGGAGAAACGTCCCGAGGCGCGTGCGGGCGGGAGCTGCGCGCGCCCGAGGCCCCCTAGTCTCTCCCTCGCTGCCTTCACCACCGCGGCCCGGAACTTCGTTTCCCGGAGGCTGGCCGACTCCGGCTCGAGCAGCCCGGGAACGAGAGGTGACGGGCCCACACGGAGCAGGGTTCGGCCCGCATGGCCGACATCTCATCCTCCAGCTCCTGCAATACCAAAACTGGTTTGTAGAGTACGTTCCCGTCGCTTCCCGCACTTGCGAAGAACAATCCTCACTTCCAAGCACGAAAATCCCACCCCTTTTGCGACGCAGTCAATCCTGTTGCTCGCTACCACCTTGTCCTGGCGACCTTACGTACGACCTTAACCAATCGTTTCCGGGATGTCCTTCTAGTCCCGCCTCAGGCCTGTCACATAAGCTGTCAATCTCCTGCCCGCCCCTTCACCCCGATAGCTCATTTCCTCCAGACGCCGTGACGTGCTCAGCTTTTGCAGCTTGGCCGGGGCGGGCCAATGGCGGTGGCGGATACGGCGGGCCAATGGGCGGGAGTGTCTCATGCGGCCGGCGCCCGCCGCAGCCGCCGCTGGGTCCTGGAGCCAGAGGCCGCCCCGAGACGGCGCGCGATGGACCGAGGGCCCCAGCCGGGGAGGCGCCGCCGCCAAGCTCGCGGCCAGACGCCCCCGCAGTAGCGCCCGCACCGGGATCCGCGGCGTCCGCCGCGCACTGGGCGCGCCCGAGGGGCGGGCTCGCCTCCCGCCCGGCCCCCGCAGCTCGGCCGGCCGGAGCCCGCGCCGCCGCCTTCCCGCTAGGGCCGCGCGGCCCGGGAGTCGCAGCCGCGGGCTGCATGGGCAGCGCCTACGCCCCGCTGCTGAGTCGCCGCCGAGCCGCGCCGCCCTCGGAGCCGGGTAAGAGGCGTCGCTCTTCGGGCGGGGGTGTGCGCGGGCGTTTTTGCGCGGCCTTGCGGCCTGCAGGCCTTCCCCGCCGGAGGAGCAGTGTCGCGGGCCTCGGGCGGGCCTGGGGAGCTAGGGGGTGTGGGGGGTCGTCTGTGGGCTACGGGGCAGACTTGGGGATACCATTGTGAGATCCGGAACGGGCCTGGGGGTCTTGGGGGCCGTCCATAGGTTCCGGGGCGGGCTGGGGGATCTAAGAGGATTGTTCCTGGGCTCCGGGGCGAACCTGGGAGATTGGGAGCTGTCTGTGGGCTTTCTGGCTGGCCTGGGGGCCTGTCCGTGGGCTCCGTGGAGGGCATGAGGGCCTGGGAGGGGACCGTCCGTCGGCTCTCCGAGGCCAACTATGGTTTCTGGGGCTGGTCTGGGTGACCGCCCGTGGGCTCCGGAGCGAGCCTGGGGGTCTGGGGGGTCCCTGTTGGTCCTGGAGGCTTGCGTGGACCGTCTGTGGGCTCTGGGGCGGGCCTGGGGGTCCGACCGTGGGTTCTGGGGCGAGCCTGGGGGACATGGGGGGCCGACTGTGGGCTCTGGGGGTACGACTGGGACTCCAAGGCGGGCCTGGAGGCTTGGGGGGCCGACGCCACCCATGGGCGCGGGGTGCTGGTGTGTGGGGGCGCCGACCTCCAACCCGCGGGAGGGGCGCCTTCGCCTCGCCTTAGTCTTGCAGTCGTTATTCTCAGCGTCACTATTATTATCGCTGTTTTGAAATGGGAGCCGGCGGCTCTCGGGCTCCGAGCCGGAGGGGGCGGGCGAGCTGGGTACCCGGGGGCGTCGGGGCCGCAGGAGGCGCGCGCAGGCTAGAGGAGGAGCAGGAATGCGGGGCCACGGCGCGGGGGGTGTTACGGGGGAGGGTGGGCGGGACGGGGGTGGGTGGGAGGAAAGCGGTGGCGGCGGCGGCGGCTGCAACAGCAGCCCTTGGCCTCAAGGAACAATGTGAGACGTTGCCTGAAATGTTAATTTCCGTTCCTCATTTCATCATCTCCTGGCAGGGCGGTAACTGTGTGTGTGTGAGAGAGAGTGTGTGTGTGTGTGTGTGTGTGTGTGTGTGTCTTGGCCCTGCCACATGGATTCAGTCCCCTCTCAAAGAGGAATTGTACTGTTAAATTTTGTATCTGTGTTGTTTTTAGGGACAAGTCTTGATTATTCTTGAGGCCTGCTTTTTTTCTGGTATCTCATTAAGATTTTCTGTTTCTGTTGTGTTTTTGGACGGCTAAGTCTTGTCTACCGGCTTCCAAGGAGCTTTGGAAGAGGCTTTGGAAGATTAAGCTGGTCTAAGAAGGTCTTATGCTTAGAAAACTATTTTCTTTCTAACAGTTAAGATGTAGTATGCTCAGGTTTTGTGGTTTCTGCAAGTTATGATAAGTTTTATATTCATTTGCAAGAACAGGATTGTTTTGGACATTTGTTTTGGTAGAGAAATAAGATTTTAGGCTTTCTTATATAGTTGGAAAGTTTTCTGCAGTGATTTGAGTGATATCCTTACCTTTTCAAATAAGGAGTGGAAATGTACATAGTTATTGAAATGCAAAACTTAGAATCTTTTGGTCCTTTTCGGGGAGATGATGAGACTTATTCAGCAAAACACATAAGGTGATATTGCTTGTGGAAAAAGTGCCATTGAAACTTAGTATTTTTGGTTATAGTTGTTGTTTGGCAGGCCTGGGCTGGGTTCAAACCTGCCAGCTCCGGTGTATGGGGCTGGCACCCTAGCTGCTGAGCTACAAGCACTGAGTGAAACAGTATTTTGGTTTGTGCAAACCCAGTCAATGGCATAACTTGGATAGTTCAAAATCAAAAACCCTGGGACATTATTTAGAGCCTTTGGGAGCTTGATTTATTACATGTTGGCTGCCCTGGAAGACCTAGAATTCTGTTTGTGTCTTTTGAGAATGATTGCCCAAGTATTCTCACATTACTTTGCAACTGTAGTTAAATAAACACAATATCTTCAACTTTGATTGTGACCCTTGCATTGGATCTCCCTCTAGTTGGTGTTTCCTCCCCCACCCTCTATTCAGCTGTTCTCTTTCTGTACTTTCTGGTTTGAGAGCTGGATCTCATTTGATAGGCTAGCAACCTGAATGGAATGGCATGGGAGGGAACAAAGACCAAGTTGCTGTGACATTTTCTCTGTTCTTTGTGCATGCCTCTTGAGTCCCTTGAAAAGCTGTGCAAAAGATATTGCTAAATTTGACCTAAACTTGAAACTTTCAGAAGCTTTTTGTTCTCAGTTTTATTTTTACTGTGGTAAAATATACATAACAAAATTTAGAGGTTCATTTTTAAAGGTGTCACCTAGTCTCAGAGTTCCTCATTTGCAGTTCTAACTTGTGTTGGCTTCTAAATTGCTTTGCCACTATCAGATGCTTTTCTCCGGACCAGCCATGTTAATCACACTGCACCAGCAGTGCCTTTCATCTCACTCAGCCAGATGGGCTGCTGATGACTAGTGGCTGTCATGTTAAGCTATAATTACAATGTTGATAACGGTGACAAGTAGAACTTTCTACAAATAGAGTTTAAAGAAACTATGCTGTTTGTATTTGAGAATAATTTTTGAGAAGCTTTGTGTGCCTGGGACTTGTAAGTGGATTTGTCATGGTAAGGCTATGTTTCATCAGATGTGAGAGGAGAGTTATTTTGCATATGGGCATTGAGCCCATCATCAATTAAATAACATAATTAGAGAGTATCAGTAAATGTTGGTTCAGAGAATTATCTGCATTTGTTGCCAAAATAAGTGTTTTGATCTGTCCATTACCATGTGTAAGTCCCATCGTCTCTTCAATGATGAGTGTAATGGACCAACTTCTCTCAATAGCAAGATACTCATCAGTTAGTGGGTGAAGATGATGCTGTGTAGCCTGACATGTGCCATTGAGTGTGGTCCGTCTGATAACCATATACAAAGATTGAATGGATTCAAGTAACTAGTGATTGTCTTGAAATGTTTTCAGTACCATTCTCTTAATTTGAATTTCAAACAGAATTTCTGTGCAATTCAGCTTTTTCAGTTTTTATCTTAAACCTACGTGAAAGAGGGAGTCAACCCTTAGCTCCGGGAACTCAGACAGTTAGATAATTGGAATTGAAAGCCTTTTTGGCTTAGGAAACGATGTACTTTAATGACTACGTTATTAATTCTGATAGATGTTGCTATTATTAAGGATTTTTTTAGTTTGTTTGATGAACCTTATTCATAGTATCTGTTAAGCTAGAATCAGACTCAGCTGTGTACTTAACAGGGTTTTCATGTACTTATATGGTACAACTGCAAATGCTGTTCTTCATAACACACCTCAAGTGACTATTGTGGCCTAACTCTGATTTCATGACCCCAGCTCCAGTCAGACCCTTGTTCACTCTCCTAGTTTGGGCCTGGCCTTGACACATGCTGATTACTCTGTCCAGACCAGGGGCTGCAGAGTATCCATGCATATATTCCACCCCAACTCCTGCTCAGCCTTTGGATCTTAGTTAAATATCGCTTACTTTTAGCAAGTCTTTTAAAAAAAAAATACTATTTTGGCTCGGTGCCTGGCTCAAGCAGCTAAGGCGCCAGCCACATACACCTGAGCTGGCAGGTTTGAATTTAGCGTAGGCCCGCCAAACAACGACAGCTGCAACCAAAAAGTAGCCGGGTGTTGTGAGCACCTGTGGTCCCAGCTACTTGGGAGGCAGAGGCAGGAGAATCGCTTGAGCCCAGGAGTTAGAGGTGGCTGTGATGCAACAGCACTCTACTCAGGCGACAGCTTAAGACTCTGTCTCAGGAAAAAAACAATTTTATAATTTTTTTACTTTTAATTATTACAGGCACATAATAGCTGTATATTAGCAAGTTGTCTTAATCATTGCTCCTAGGGAAAATCTCCTCCCCCACTTTGTTGTAGCCATGAAGGATTTAACACAAAGTTTATTTATTTTTTATTTTTTAATTTTTTGCAGTTTTGGGGTTTGAACGCACCATCTCTGGCATATGGGGTCGGTGCCCTACTCCTTTGAATCACCGGTGCTGCCAAAGTTTATTTTTCTTAATTTATTTTATTTTATTTTTTTGGCCAGAGCTGAGTTTGAACCCGCCACCTCTGGCATATGGGACCGGCGCCCTACCTTTTTGAACCACAAGTGCCACCCTATTTTATTTTTTTGAGACAGTCTCAAGCTGTCACCCTGGTAGAATGCCATGGTGTCACTGCTCACAACAACCTCAAACTCTTGGGCTTAAGCGATCCTCTTGCCTCAGCCTCCCAAGTAGCTGGGACTATAGGTGCCTGCCACAAAGCCCAGCTATTTTTTGGTTATAGCTGTTGTTGTTTGGCGGGCCCATGCTGGATTTGAACCCGCCCCCTCTGGTGTATGTGGCTGGTGCCTTAGCCACTTGAGCTACAGGCACCGAGCCATTAACACAAAGTTTAATGTCTACCCTCCCCCAAGGGCTGTCATGAAGATGGAGATAGATGGTCTTCTTGGCACTCTGTACCCAGCCTACATGACACTGTAGTTGTAGAAGTGGCTCAAGAAGTATTTTTTGAGTTGTTTAAAGCCTGTATATGAAAGTGTTTGAGTAATTTTTAAGACAGAGTCTCACTATGTCTCCCTCAGTTGAGTGCTGTGGTATTATAGCTCACAGGAACCTCAAACTCTTGGGGTCAAGCTATTCTTTTGCCTCAGCTTCCTGGGTAGCTGGAACTACAGGCGCCCACTACAATGTCAGGCTATTTTTTGGATCCAGCTGTCATTGTTGTTTGGCGGCCTGGGCTGGATTTGAACCCGCCAGCTCAGATGTATATGGCTGGTGCCTTAGCCACTTGAGCCATAGTGCCAAGCTGGAATCGAGGTTATTGTTTTCCCACTTATGTTTATGTTTTCTAGATTTTTTTTTTTTTTTGAAAACAAAACTGTTATGTAATTGGCAGAAGTTTTTTTTAAGACAGTCTCATTCTGTTGCTCTGGGGTAG